ATATCCGCTAATCCCACCATGTCACATTCATCATCCCCCCGCTGGGGCATCATCGGTTGTGGCCGCATTTCATGGGATTTTGTAAGCTCCATCAAGTCGTTAAACAATGTCGTTGTGCAAGCCTGCGCTGCTCGCTCTCTGGCCGATGCCCAGACTTTTGCCAATAACTTCGGTATCACTCAAGCCTACGATTCATACGAGGCACTTGTGTCCGATGCCAACGTCGACGTCGTGTACATTGGTACACTTCACCCATGGCATTATGAGCACACAGTATTGGCTTTAAATCACGGCAAACATGTGCTAGTTGAGAAGCCTATGGCTATGAATGCTATCCAAGCATCAGCTGCCATTGCACTTGCTCGCGAGAAGAAACTTTTCCTTCTAGAAGGAATGTGGACTCGTTTTTTTCCTGCAATTCGCTATGTACGCCAATTATTGAATAACAAAGAAATTGGAGATGTGCATCACGTGCATGCAGCTTTTGGTGTGCCTTTTGGCAAAGATAATGCTCGAATTTGGCACAATGAACTTGGCGGTGGAGGTCTCTTGGATATTGGTATTTATCCATTGGCATTTGCTACTATGGTGTTTGGTACGAAACCTGAGAAAATTACATCGGCTGGGAAGCGAAATGATGGAGGAGTCGACATTTACAGCACAGTGACACTTGAGTATAGTGACTCTCGTTTTGCTACTATTGAATACACAATGTTGGCTAAATTGGATGAGTCAGTGACAATAACGGGAAGTAAAGGACGCATTTGTCTACCAGCTGCTGCACACACGGCTACGGAGGTACAAATGATCAAGTATTTTGAAGACGGTACACAGAAGGAAACCAAGTCACTCTTTCCATGGCCAATGCCTGCTGCTGGAGTTACGTTTATACATTTAGGCTCAGAAGGTCTTCGTTATGAAGCGGAAGCTGTTATTCATGCAATTCAGAAGAAGGAATTAGAGAGCAACGAATACTCACTGGACGAATCGCTTGGGATCATGACCATCATGGACAAAATTCGCAAGGATTTAGGTGTCGTTTACCCTGCTGACACTCAGTAATGTTGCTCTTCATTCCTGCAGTCTCTTACTGTGAAATGGCTTTCAACGTCTCTAAAAGATAATGAACTCATTAAATCTTGGTTGTACATTATTGTCAATAATTATTGATGCAATATAATAATTCTTAATAAGAGGTATTTTCAAATGTAATTATTGTTGGTTGGTCTCAAACACACGAATATACAACCTCAGCATGACAGATACTGGTGTCAAGATAGATGCTTCGACTATCGCCGATCCTTTTAGCTTGGCCGTACGTCAATATATTGATCATGAAATGAATGGTGTGGGTCCAAAGCTTGTAGGTTTGCTTGCACATGGTGACCCAGCTGCGAAAAAGTATGCCGAATGGACTGGTAAAGCTTGTGCACGTGATGGAATTCGGTACGAGCTACGTGAAGTTCCCAAAGATGAACTTCTTGAAGCTCTGGATCAAGCAAATCATGATCCAGATGTGCATGGTATTCTTGTCTACTATCCATGCTTTGGTACCTTTCCAAGCTTCTTTGGTGGTACCATGGACGATTTCTTACGGGATAGTATAAGTATCAAGAAAGACGTGGAAGGTTTGTGTCAATACTATCGCGGAAATCTATATCGCAATATTCGCTTTATAGATGACGAAAAGACACAAAAATGTGTCTTGCCTTGTACTCCACTTGCTATCGTCAAGATCCTCGAACATCTTGGCATTTATGACAAGTCAAAGCCGGATGGAAATCATTTGGCTGATATCAAGATTACTATTATAAATCGTAGTGATATTGTTGGTCGTCCATTGGCTGCAATGCTTGCGAATGATGGTGCTGACGTCTATAGTGCCGACATTGATTCACTTTATCTCTTTCGTCGTGGTAAACTCATTCCAAGTGATGAAACTCAAGAGACAGCATGCAAGAAATCGCGTGTTATTATTACTGGTGTACCGGTCAAAAGCTATAAGCTACCACTCAACTGGGTAAGTGAAAATACTGTGATCATTAACGTTGCTTCGTTTAAAAATGTAGATGAAGCAGAGTTGTTGAAAATCAAGGGTGTACAATATGTGCCACTTGTTGGAAAAGTCACGGTTGCTATGCTTGAACGCAATCTCTTGCGTCTATACGAGAATTTTCATTGGAAACCAAAGAAAGTCTGGCAATAAACGTTTAACGAGAGACAATTTCTTTGACTCGCGTTAATATGCAATATATTTTTTTAACGAAACAATTGATTGTAGACACTTTAATCACTGTCAATGATCTTTACGTGAATAGCACTCGATACCAGAACGTTCTTTTGATCGTCAAAAGCTCGTACTTCCAGCTTGTGTAGCCCCACACTTAATCCACGCAGCAGCATATTACCATCATTGATGTAACTTTTTTTCAAGTGAATATTATCATCAATCATTATTGCCATGTGTTGAATATTTACTGCAGTGTACTCGAGTACAATAGATTCATGGTGTTTAAAAGTCGCACCGTCCGATGGCGACGTCAGCTTGAGATATATTTCTTCATGAGAAACTAAAAATGGCTGCTTAACGTAAACATCCTGTGTATATGTCTTTAGTTCTTCCATCAAACCAGGAATTGGAACGTCAACTTGTAAATGAAGCTCAAAGACTCTGTTTGATGTCGTGAGATTGTTGTCTGGAATAAATTTTCGAATAGGAATAGGAAAGCGCACTGAACGATTTAAAACGATTGCACCACTATCTTCGTCTTGAAGAGCCAAAAATTCGAGTTCGTTCTTAATCAACTTGTCATTTAAATACAAGCGGTAGCGAAATACCTCAGCTCCGTACAGATATAACGCTTCGGTTGGAAAATTTACAAGTTTCCACTCAAATAAAACACCTTGTGGATTCATGTGTGAGTTATCAATTGGACTCACGATGATTACAGAAACATTGGAGGTATCGTACGCTGTAAATAACATCTTGTAATCTGGCAATGGTACCACTAATGGAGAAACATAACTGTAGATACACGCAAGAATATATGCGACCAACACAACGACAACGCATCCAACAGTGAAACAGTCTTTCACCATCGAATAATTCTCGTTCTTTTGATTAAAACAACTCGATTGAGCACAATCGTCTTCATGTTCAGCTTCAGCAGCGCAATTATCATGAACTTTTACACTGCCATTTGAAGTTGTTTTTATCTTGTAATTCTTTTTATCGTGCTGTGATACTTGTTTCTTATCAGTTACTGCAGATTGAGAAATCTTTGTGACAATTGAGTTCGTGGCTTGTGTTTGAGGATTTTCAAATTTTCTTGAAACGATGTCGTTCCAGTTGTTAATGGAGACAGTTTTTGATTCATGTTCTTGTGTTTGTAGGTCGTTGAGATGATTGAAATTATCTGAAGTAGCTTTTTCTGCATCCTTTACATGCAACGATGACGTTGAGCCTAACAGAAAGGCTAACACTGCATCGCATTCGTCCACTTTCTTAGTGCTGATAGCCATTAGTATCTTTAGATCTATAAATTGATGCAGGATTAAATTTCTTAAACTTTAACAATAAATATCATTTTTGCTGAAACGAAGTGTACTACGTGAAGTCGGGCAAGAATTGATGATAGATATGAGCGACAGCTAAATGATGCTGTAGACAGTAACTCAGCTACTCGCACATGAAGAATCAAAGGCAGCATGTGTCATTTTTCGTGGAGTGCAATGGGATTACAGTGCACTTTGCATGGAGGAAGCTCTAACTATAGAAAATCGTGTTCACCAGCGCTCAGAAGCTGGGTTCGTGTGCTTCTACCGTAAGCAGACCCTAGAGTCTTTACTGCAACTAGATGTCTAATCAGCTCTACTATACAAGAGTATATACATGGTAAAATGCTAACACTTGATACATTTATTGACGATCGCTCATGAATAAGAATCGTTATTCTTTCTGACATGTGGCTAACAGCCCAGCTGTACCACGGCCCTTTCATTTGGAGGGTCCAGTATCTTCATGAGACACCGATATAACTAAACTTATGGATTTCACAGGTGCAATATAAATTTCGCACAATTTTACCAAATATGCAAATGAACAAGCATACGAGATCGCAGTATTCTTCCGTTATCCCCCAATCATGGTGTAGTCATACTTGGGCTCACTAATTTTGTCTTTCTATGACACCGCAAAGAAGCGATTGCTTCACGAGCAGCCACTGCGCTCGGAATTTAACTCTATTTTCTGTCGTTTCCAACCTGCTTCGCAGAGCACTTTTTCACCAGGTGTTCTCTCCCGCGCAAAAACCAAGGGGCTAGAGTAATCTCAGATAAAGTGCGGTCCTCAACACCGAAGTGCTTAAAAAAATTGCTTAACCCACGCATCATCACTCCCCGGCAGTATCGCCTGCACTTAGAGCGGCGGCGCGTGGAGAAACCCTTTCCCTCCATCTCGTATTCAAATTTAGAGCTTGTAGCTGGTCAAAGTGTCATTGAGCATAAACGTCGTTATGCGCAACGGGTAAGGGATACAACTCGATTTATTTGAATCGCGAAAGAGAAGTCCATTTGAAGTGTCGTCTAATGTTTGAATGTTGAGTTACGAAGCATGACGCGGACGTCACGGTAGCAGACTCATTACAGGCGTTCAGTATCAAACTATAACAGCTACCAACCAGAGGACGTCTATATACGCGGTCGGTCACCGACTAAAGCGTGTGGTGGCGAACGACTTCGCCTCTTCTCCTTAAAAGATTAAGCCGAAGACGTTAATCCAAGAAATTTTACTGGAATGGAGAATTGAACTTCCACGAGTTATTTCATCAATCATTTCTTGTCCTTTGCCAGGTACCTATTAGTGCCCTTGTGTACCCATCGGCGCACCGAATTTGCGCGTAAAAGTTTGCCGCACCTTTCTTATAAAACAGTGCCGATGAAGGTCATCCTTCCCGCGGCTGGCTATCGTGAGCTCTTTTGATTGTGGTGATATCACTTCTCGGTCCAAGAGTCTCGGTGTGGGTTCGAATTGAGGTGAGCCAGATCTTGTATTTCTTCTCGGAGCTTTGCCACCTCATGATCAGGCTTAAAGTCCCCCCCGCGCTATTCAGAACCGCGCCGCTGCCTTAGAGCAGAGGAATGTTCAATTTCAAGGGAAGATGAGGACTCTTCTCCGTTTGCAACGATGTTTAACAAATCCGATTGGCTAGTTAGATTGGGATCGTGGTGTGGCTTTGGGTAGTTCATACAGAGGTTCTGGTATGTTTTTTTAATATGAATTGGAAGTCAAAAGTAATTTGTTCTGCGTGAAGACCATGGACTCTCTGACATAGCGCGATCGCTCCTGAGTTTCATATACTACAAACACTGCATGTGTAGGTAGGCTAGTTGCATTGAATAAAGCATTTTCCCATAGCACAATCATGTGTGTTCCGCCTGTCTTCTGTATTGAAGTCACACGATCTATGTGAAGTTAACAACAGAGCTTTGCAAAAGCTGGAG